TGGGGACTCCACAGTGTCATAACCTCTGGCTCTAATAGACTTTGCTCTGTGGTGGCTCCACCTCCCCAGCCACTCTCTGCCTCGGACCTGCCTCTTAAAGGCACCTCTTGAAATCCAGAAGAACGCGCCACACTGCTCCACCTCACAATCGGCTGGCCTGAGGCCAGGACAGCAGAACCAAGGAGGGCCATATTGGAATGTGGGTGCAGCTGAGGGATCCCAAGTCCCATAACGCACTGGGTTCCTCCCTTGAAACTCTTCTGCTTGAGGCGTTGGCATCTGGGATGGGCATGGCAACTGGGATAATCCCTGTGCAGACTTTGACTCACTTCCTTGCAGTAGTGATGAATAGCTCCTGGCTTCTTGCCATATTAATCTCTTTATCAAAGGTTAGTTGCGGGGCACACCCTTTGTTTTCTTTCCTGGGCGTGCACGTTCTTTCTTTAAAGGTGGAGAATTTCCTAAATCTTTTAAGTTTTGTGCTCACTGGTCTGCCCAAACACACACACACACACACACACACACACACACACACACACACACACACACACACACTGCCATCACACCTGGCTTCTCTTTTGATTGTAAATTCTATCTTTAACTTGTGGCCTTCTTTTATTATACATTAAGTTATCAAGTACTCGGAACAAATTCCTCCGAGTTTTTTTGTTGTTTTCATTTCCACCAAATATCCTAGCTCATTGCTTTAGCGTTCTTTTGCCCACAGAGCATCAGGGCATGAGCATCATTCTGCCAAGCCCACTGTCACTTTGTGAGAGGCCAGTCTTTCCCTGGGTTTCCCACACCCTGTTGTTCCTCACGTCCGTCTTAGATACTCTCAGAATTGCCGTTACTTTGCATGCCTCCGCCAACATGTAGGTCTAAGCCATCCAAGAGTCTCTCAGAAGGGGTGGGTCCTCCCACAGCTCCCCACATCTGAGCTGTCAACGTTGTCATCCTCGATGTTCCATCACCAGGAATCCAGAGGCTTTCTCCGGGGCATCTCGAATTCCTCCAGCTTCTGTCAGCACTCCCAGCCAAGGCCACAGCACAAACATGACACTAATATCTTAGTTTGTGGTGTTTGTATTCACTAAATAGTGAAACGGAGTAGTTTGTTTTTAAAAATTGTTTCTTTCACTTTCAGAGCCGGAAGGCACTGGGAAGTTCAAGGTACTGGGAGGTTCTGTGTTTGGTGAAGGCTTCTCTCTGCTTCCAAGACAGTGAGTGCCTGCTTGCTGAGTGCTCCTGAGGGAGAGACATCATTCTCACAAACAGAAGAGGTGAAAATGGCAACCAGTCCAAATCCTCTGTCTTAGTTAGGGTCTCTAAAACACCGTGATCAAAGGCAACTTGGAGAGGAAAGGGTTTATTTCAGCTTCCACTCAGGTCACAGCCCATCACTGAGGGAAGTCGAGGCAGGAGCTCAGAGTAGCAACTGAAGCAGAGGCCATCCAGGAGTGTTGCCTACTGGCTTGCTTTCCATGGCATATACTGAAAATAATTTTTCAGTGCAATATATTCTAATCATGGTTTCCCCTCTCCATAACCCCCTAGATCCTCCCTCAACCACCCACCACCACACCCTTTTCTCTCTCTAGAAAACAGACAAACAAAAAATTCATATAAACCAAAGTTAAAAAACAAAACAAAATGAAGAAACACACAGGAAGAGACACACACAACTCATAAAATCACAAAATTGAGAACTATATATACAAGTAAAAGGCTGGTTCAAGCACTGGGCTGAGCTCCAGGAGTCCAGCTGAGGAGAGGGAGGAGGGATTGTACAAGTAAGGAGGGTGGGTCAAGATCACGATGGGGAAATCCATGGAGACAGCTGACCTGAGCCAATGGGAGCTCATGGACTCTGGATCAACAGCTAAGGAGCCTGCATGGGACTGACCTAGGCCCTCTGCATGTGGGTGACAGTTGTGTAGCTTGGTCTGTTTGTGGAGTCCCTATCAGTGAGATCAGGACCCATCTCTGGTGCATGAGCTGGCTTTTTGGAACCCATTCCCCATGGAGGGATGCCTTGCCCAGCCTTGATGCAGGGGGAGGAGCTTGGTCCTGCCTCGTGATAAGCCATGCTTTGTTGACTCCCACCCGATAGGAGGCCTGCCCCTTTCTAAATGGAGGAGTGGATGGGCAGGGTTAGCAGAGAAATAGGCGGGAGGTGGGGGGAGGGAACGGGAAGAGAGGAGGGAGGGGTTGGTATGTAAAATAGATGAAAAGATTTAATTAAATAATAAAAAAGAAAGGTTGGTAAGGAAAAACAAGCTCAAATAAAGACATACGAGACAAAACATCTACAAAAATACCATTGAGTGCATTTTGTGTTGGTCATCAACTGCTGGGCACAGGCCTCCCATTAAGTGCCATTAAGGATGGTTAATATACCAAGTGAGATTCCGCTGGAGAAAAGTAATTTCTCCTTTGCAAGCAGATGTCAGTTGGAGGGATGGGAGCCCTTGTCCTTCCCCTTCTCAGTGCAGGGAACCAGTGGCTTGAACCTGTGTAGGATCTGTGCATTCTGCCAGTCTCTGTGAGTCCAGATGTGCTGGGTCTGGAAGACAGTTTTCTTGGTGTCGACCATCGCCTCTGCTTGCTTTTCTTATACAACCCAGGACCACCTGTCCTGGGTGGCACGGCCCCCTGTGGGATGGGTCCACCCACATCAATCATTAATCAAGAAAATGCTCTCCCAGGCTTGCCCACAGGCCAGTCGGATGGGGGTATTTTCTTAATCGATGTTCCCTCTTCCCAAATAACTCTAGCTTGTATCACATTGACAAAACACTAACCAGGGAACACCCGCTAAAGGGGCCTGATCCCCTACGCGAGGACTCCCTCCACCACTCCACTAGTCCCTAAGGACCCCAACTCTTAGTAATACCACACTGGTGGCTGAATATCAGCATATGAATTTTGAGGGGAAGACCTCTGAACAAAGTACATCTCCTATGCTATTGGGAACACAGCTTCCATCCCATTCTGCCCTTTCTCCTGTGTAAAGCTGCTGTGAGAAGCTTCCCTGACATTGAACCTGCAAGAGGTCTTCATGACAAGACAACTTCATCTATAGCCCTGTCGTCTGGGAGAAATGTGTGGGCATTGCCACGCACCCCACCCTGCCAGTCTTCCTGGCCCATCTTGTCCACAATAGCACAGAAAAATGCCAGTTCTTTGGGAGTTTCCCCTGTTATTCCCTGCCTTCAACTGTAGAGCTTTCCTCTTACCTCAGAGGGATAAGTTCTGATTCCCCTCCCTCCCAGAGGATGCCCCAAACTCCAAACCCCTCACAAGCACCGCATTATCATGGTAGCGGACCTGGTAACTAAGATGGTGACCAAGTGACTGAGATGTGAGTAGTGTCCACAGCATGGTGACCTGGACCAGGAAATAATGCATGTCCTGGGCAAGAAAATGAGATGGTGTAAAATTTCATCACAATACTCAAAGTAGCACAGAATGTATTGTCTATGGGATTTCTGGGCTTTTCCATTTTTATTTTTGGGACATGGTTTGCCATGGGTGAATGCAATCATGAAAAGGGAGACTGTCGTGCTCAGCTATGGCTGCTGCCCACCTCCTGAAAGCAGACGTGATTTACTCTGAGCCTTGACTTGGTCTTCACATGTGCTGATCACCCTGGATTCTCGCAGACACCTTGAAAGTCTTTCCTTCGCTCTTTGAAAGCATTTTGAACAAGCTTGTTCTCCTCCCATTCAGTTTAGAAACTGTCTTGAGGTGACTTGTGACACTGTAAATTGATGAGGAATTATGAGCCTCACAATAGTGTTTCACTAAATAGTGAAATGTGATTCTGTTTTACACTTTTAAACTTAGCCTATATAATGCAAAATAATGGCTTCATGATTACATTTCATACATATATATCACCATACTTTGCTCAAACTGATTCCTGCTTTACTGTTTTTTGTCCCCCTAGGTAAGAACATGGGCCCTCCTTCCCAATAATCACTCTACTTTTATGTCTTTAGAAAAAAAAATCTGTGTTCCACATTGAAGGAAAGTGCTGTATTTGTCTTTCTGAGATTGGCATATTTCACTTAACAGATGATCTCCAGTTCCATTCATTGTCCTGCAAAAGACAGAATTTCATTCTTCTTTACGGCTAAGTAAACAGCGTTGTGCATACATACCACAGGAAAAGTGACTGTAAAGGCAAATGATGTCCGTGATTTTATTCCTGGGATAATCGTTTTAATTTTATTACATTTAACTAATTGTGTGTGGTGTGTGAGTATGTGGGCACTCCCAAGTGTGCTCACCATATGCAGTGAACAGGAGGAGGTCAGGGACCTTGCAGAAGCAGAGTCTTCCCTTCTATCACGTGGGTCCAGGGGATTGAACCCAGGTCATCAGCCTTGGGGACAGGCACCTTTACCCACTGAGCCATCTCACTGGCCCCTAATATATTTTATTTTAGACAAAAATACCTCAAGATCTAAACATAGTTTACAATAATTCATAAACACTTCAAGTAATGTGAAACATTTAAACTTAAAAAATAAATTTTGTATGTCATAGTCTATATTTATATATTAAAGAGAAAAATAAAAATCAACTTAATAATTGTCTAAATCATTATTGAGCCCTTTTCTCTTTTCCTTGTTTGTTTTGTGGTACTGGACATAGAATCTGGGGTCTCACACACGAGCTGCCACTGAGCTGCAGGCCACGCATGCCCTTTAAACCTGTTTTTAATAACTTATTTTTAACTTGTTAAAATAACTCAAAATCACCAAACTGATCAAGTTTTCCGTGTAATGATATGAGGATGCTGGGTGAGACTGAGAAATTTTGGCCCCTGGACTGTGGTTGTTGGTAACAAGGCAGTGCCAGAAAAGTGTCAGTGAATAAATCAGGTATCCCGAGTGACCGGAAGTAACAGGAACAACTAGCCTCTCTCTCAGGGTTTCTTCCAGTTCTTTCATTTTCTCCTGCAGAACAGAACAATCACTACTTGAGCTGCACAGCACAGCCTCTCCCTCCAGGGGGCAGACATTCACCACTACACAGCAAACACGGCTGACTTCCCGGATGTCCGGATGCCTGACGTTCTTGTGTCTTTTCAGTTTCCAGCCAGCTGTTTCTGCGCTCTCTCAGGCAGCTAGAATTCCACGACTGGAAAAGAAGCATGGAAAAGTCAGTTGAGATTTTCCTCCTCTTGTTCCTAAGCTTCCTTTCACTGTCTCAAATTAGAGCATTGGCTTTTTTGTTTTGTTTTGCCTGCTTCTGCCTCTGCCGGCCCCACTAACTCCGTTTCCTCTTGGTCTCTTGTTCAGTGTTCCTTCTCTGGCCACTGGGTTTCTACTTTCAGCCCAAATTATTTCTTGTTTGACCTAGAGAACTTAGAAATGCTGTATACGTGGTATCGATTTTATTATTGGGGTGAGGGGTGGGGATGCACTGGGCAAGGATCTGGGAGGGAGCTGTAGAGTTTCTGTGGACTCTCTGGGCATGCTGCCCACAGTGATGTGTTCACCAAACCAGAAGCTCCTGTCAAGCATGCATTCCAAGTGGCCATTGATTTGGACTAAGTTCTTGTACTAGGCCCCAACATAACAGACCAAAAATCAAAATGGAGTCCTTCATGCTAAAATTCACATTATCAGACTGAACCTAAGGTGCTTTCTGACTTTCAAAAAAAAAAAAGTGAAAGATCACAACCATATGCCCCCAGGCAGTCCTCTTTTAATCAGCATAAGACAAAATTCTTCTGCTTTGACCCTTACAAAAAGGAACCTGATGTTTCCCCCAATCATTTTTCTCAAGTTTTGAACTTAGTCTACTTGGGACAGTCATTCTCTCACCTAGAAACTCCCTGTAAGCCTGCCGTGATCACCTCCATTAGCAAACACCCAGATATGGCCAGAGGCCCCACTTATGAATAACCAGAGAAGCTCCCATCATGGTGGAAACTCCAGCAGTACTTAGAGGTTTTGTATGAACATTCGTAAGTCATGACTCCACACTTACAGTCACTCATCAGCAGGGACAGACTGGTCAGTCACTTGCTCAGAGAAATGAAGCACTTGGGTGCCAGGGTCCAGCCTCAGCTCAGGTTCAGGTCCTGGGATGGGGAAGGGACATCAGTGCAAGGAAAACTTCTGACCACCAAGTGGATTACACTCAAATGGCCCTGAATAGCTCAGACCATCTTTATTTATATTTAAACAGTTGTTCTTACCAGGGTTCCATGAACAGCTTCTATTTTCAACTTTAAGAAATACAACACAAATTAAGGAATACATTGTGACCGTTCCTCTTTACACTTCCCCAAATACACTTTCCCACCCCCTGCATAACCTTACTCTGGACATAGGGTTCAGCATTTTTGCAAGCTTAACTAAAGCCAGCACTTATGGCAGCTGGCGGCTACTTGAGGTTACAGAGTTTAGAAGTAATAGGCATGAGCACAATGCTTTAAGGACAACAATATTCAAACCCAGACAATTCTTTCATGTCTGCAAGATGTATTTTTATACAGTTCCCTTTTCTACAAGAGGGTCCCCTGTCTCAATCTCTCTGTAAAAGGCGGACCTTGATACAAAGCACTCTTTTCCCATCTCACTATACCATACTTCGCCCACCAATATAAGCGCCTATGTATGGTAAAGATGGAGCTATTCATCCCACATTTTGCATTGTATTTTTTCCTCTTGGAGCATACCAGATCCTACCAATGATTCTATGCTTGGTGTCCAGGAATTTACTCTCAACAGTTGGCACCATGTGTATTTCTGAGACTTCCCCCCTACCCCCCCCCCATTCTATATATGCATGCCCTGCTCTCCTTTCCAGAACTGTGAGACATAGCTAATGTTCCAAGTGCTGTTTTCTCACATGTACCTAACTGTCTCCATTGAGTCAGAAAAGTTCCCAGGAAGAAGCATTAACCCCCAGCTGAATCTTAGGGGAAAATATTTGAAAAGGAACAGAATTTCCAGGGAAAATTACAGCTGTTGCACGTGTGACTGACAAAGTAAAAGTAAAAACCACCCAAAGAATCAACAATATAATGAGAGAGAAAAGAGCCTTCAAGTTGCACAAATTTTGCAGATTTCTACACTGTCCCATGGACTATTGGTCCTTGCCAAGCGAAAGTCTGTTTCCACAGGTGCTTTGCCCTGAAGAAACCTGTCAGACAGGTAGTCATATGCTGATCTGAGACTAGACTGCATGGCTCCCAACACTCAGGAGACAGATTTGAAATGAAACATTTGGGGATATCAAAGTTTCTACTCATTCTCCAGGTCACCTAATTTGCCTGACAGATATACTTTGAACAGAGAATTTCAGACACCCTGGGCTAGGTTTGCTCAGCTGGATAGCAAGCCAGCATGTCATCTCGCTCTCTCTCAGGTGGGTCATGGTTTCACAGCCCTGCCCTATAGTACAAACCCTTCACACAGTATTGTGCAATCTTCAACAGTGAAGCTGCTATGGCGTGAATAGACACCCTGATGGCCTGGGTTGGAAAGTTGGTCCCCAATCCAACAGTATTGGGTCCTGAAGAAAGCTGTTTGGTCATGTGGACTCTACCCTCACAAATGAATTAATGCTGACCTCTTGCTTTCTGTAGCCTCCTTTTGCCCTCCCATCTTCCACCATGAAATGATTCCAGAAGGCTATGACTTGACACAGCTTCTAGACCCTGGACTTCTCAACCTTCAGAAGCATGTACCAAACAGGGTTCTGTTCATTAGGATAATCCATTCCATGCTACTTTGTTATTGAAGCCTAAAATGGACTAAGAGGAATGGCTTGTGAGTCTCATTTCATTTATAACCTCTCCCACTAGCACATGGTTGATCCCAGGGCCTCCTACGCCTGTTGCTTGCCCAGGGGGCACTTGTGTGTGCCCAAGTGCCTTTGTAACTTAGCTCCACTCGCCTTCCACATAATCCCAGAGGAAACAAGACACCTTTTGAGTTGCTTGGTGTGGAAGGTGGGTTGAGTCAAAACCCTCAAAGAGGAAGTCTCTGGAAGGTCCTGCTGCTCACTGTGCAGAGGTTGATCTTGTAGCTGAAGCTTGCCTGTTTAGCTGATAGCAAGGTGAGCAGGCAAAGTGAAGCCGCAGTGGGGAGGAGGGCTGAGGTTTCCTGAGTGTGGGGCTATGGGGAGTTCCAGGGTGAAGTGCAAGCAGAGAATGGAGAAGGGAAAGGGGAACTGGAGAGGCTGGAATTTCATTAGATTTTGATTCTCTGTTGGCAGGTCAACAGACACGAAATACAACTGCTATGTGGCCAAGAGGGTGAAGAATCAGGGACGGAGATCTGAGTTGCTGCCCACATCCTACGCTCCTCCCTGTAGCCTCTCCCTACTGTTGGATATTTTTCTCACAGTTCAACCCAGAATTTGGGTTTTGGGGGAAGACCACAAAGACGAAGTGCCGCTGTCATTGTACCACATCACGTCACTGTGACTGATTGCCGTTGATGATGGCCTTGTAGCTGAAGAAATGTTTTTCAGCTTCTCCACTGTAACTTTCCCACTCACAGTGACAGACATAGCTCCCACCATCCCATCTTGCACTTTATTGCTCAATTACTAATATCACTTCTCAACAAGGTTCCAGACGTGCAGAAGATCCCAGGTCTCTTTGACACTGACACCAAGTGAGAGATGCCATGATTCCTCCAGAGAAGCCCCTTGGTTTCATCACCGCCTCTGCACACTGCTCGTTAGTCACCTTAGCAGTCACGCCTGTGGGTTCAGAAATGATGTATGAAGTCCCGACATTAACTTTTTAAACATTTCCAGAGATTTCAGAAAATTTCCGATTACATTATAGAAATGAGCCTCAACCTTACATGGAAAACTTTAAATTATTGTTTTAGTTGTCCAATTTTTGGAGTAGAGTCTAACAATTTGGTGCACATACACGGTGTCAAATATTGGCAGGAAACATTTTTACCTCCTTAAACATTAAAAGATTTTGGGGTTAAAATATAGTACTTGTATGTATTCTTGATATGCAATGTGCTATTTCAATGCATGTGTGTTGACCAGATCGGAGTAATGTTTCCATTTTCTTGCCATTGCTTTGCTTTTGAAGACTTCAGGCTCCTATTTTCTAATTATGCATAAAATAAAGAACAGATTGCTGTGGACTCTGGTTTCCCCACTGTGTAGAGGAGCCCTAGAACTTATTACTTCTGTTCTCTGGTAGCCATTATCCAGCCTTCCTCTAATTCTGACCCTGTTGTCTCTAGTGAGAAGCAGTCTGCATCCAGATTGACTTTTCATATGTTCTTACTTACAAACAGGATGTTCTGTCCAAGTACACAGGGCCAACCCACCTCAAACATTGGACACTGTGAGCTAAAACACATCTTTCTTTCTCAAGTTGGCCTCTTAGGTATCTTGGCCACAGCCATGTAAAAGTGATTAATTCAACATCCTCACCAACCTTTCCTGTAATTTGTGTAGAATTTAAAAAATAACAGTCATTCTAACTAGGGTGAGATGACACAGGATTAATATCCAGAATATGTAAGGAACTTAAAAATCTCAGTAACAACAACATCAAAATAATATTCCAGCTTTAGTAATGGGGATACTATCAAGTACTGCCTTGTTGAGGGCATCAGATTGTGTGGATTCCTTCAGTTCTTGCCCAAACCTCTAAATAAAATGGTCTGACACTCTCCCTTCCTAATCCAAAATGGACAAAGGACATAAACAGATACTTCTCAAGAAATTCCAGACAGGCTTCTTTTCTCTTTGCCTCCATTTCCTGGGGACTCCACAAGTCTTTATGAGACCCAGCTTTCCTCTCTCACACTGTCCCTCTCTCCCTCTATTTCCTGGGGACTCTAAAGATCCTCATGGCAGGGCCAGCTTTCTTTTCTCCTGTGGACCCTCACAACCCTCCAACCCATCCCCATTCCTTTCTGTCAGTCCTCAGTACCTAGGAACACTTTTTACTCAGAACCCCGTGGCCACAACCGTCAGGGACTCAAAAGTACTTCCTACTAGGCAACTCACAGCCACCACACTCTCCTAAGAATCAGAGAGGCAATAGAAATCAAAGAACAGAATGCCCATCCAACAAAGATAAGACCAGATTTCAACACCTAGAATTACATTCACCCCCTTCCCAGATACCTACACACCAGCACAAAACACAACAATATCCAGGACAATAGGTCTCCACCAGAGCTCAATGTAATACAGTTGAAGCACAAGACAAGGACTTCAAAATAGCCATTATGAACATGTTAAAGGGCCTTGCAGAAGACATAAATAAATTCATTAGTGAAATCTGTGAAAACATGAACAATGGAGTGAAATGAAGAAAACAGTTCAAGGCATGAAGGGGGAAATGAAATCACCAAGATAAATCCAAACTGAGGTAAAACTGGGGGAAAAAAGAAAAAAAAAAGATAAGAAAATTTTAAGAAGTCAAGCAAAACCCTTGAAGGTACACCTCACCAACAAAGTCCTTGCCATGGACAAAAGAATCTCAAGCACTGAAGAAAAGGTAGAAGAAACAGATACCCCCTTCAAAGAAAATGTTAAATCTCAAAAATCCAGGCACAACATCCAGGAAATCTTGTACAGTATGAAAAGACCAAATCTATGAATAATAGGAATAGAGGAAGGAGAAGAAACCCAGGTCAAAGGCCACAGAAAATATTATAAAAAATCATATAAGAAAATTTCCTTAATCTAAAGAAGAAAGTACCTATCAAGGTACAAGAAGCACACAGAACATCAAATAGATTGCACCAGAAAAAGAAGTCCTGTTAGCACATAATAATCAAAATACTAAATGTACAGAACAAAGAAAGAATATTAAAAGCTTCAAGGGAAAAAGATCAAGTAATATATATATATAAAGGCAGACCTATTAGAATAACACCTGACTTCTCAGTGGAGACTCCAAAAGTCAACAGGTACTGGATGAATGCTCTACAAACTCTAAGAGACCACAGAAGTCTGCCTAGAGAACTATACCCAGCAAAACTTTCAATCACAATAGATGCAAAAAGAAAAACATTTCATAATAAAACCAAATTTAAACAACATCTATCTATAAATCCAGTCCTACAGTAAGCTCTTTAAAAAAAAATCAGCCTGAAGAAGTCAACCATACTCAAGAAAGCACAAAGAATAAATAATTCCAGATCAGAAAATTAAGAAAGGAGAAACCCATACGACGACCACCACCACCACCACCACCACTACCACTACCACCACCACCACCACCACCACCACACCACACCACAACAACAATAACAACAAAAATAACAGGAATCAATAAGCACTGCTTATTGATAGCTCTCAATATCAATGGTCTCAATTCCTCAATAAAAAGACACAGACTAATAGAATGGACATGAAAACAGGATTTATCCTTTTGCTGAATCTAAGAAACATATTTTAATATCAAGGAGAATTATCACTTTAGAGTAAAAGAATGGGAAAAGATATTCCAAGCAAATGGGCACAAGGAACAAGCAAGTGTAGTCATTTAATATCAGACAAAATAAACTTAAAACCAAAGAATGCAGGGCGGGGGGAACACTACATACTCATCAAAGGAAAATCCACCAAGGGGATATTGCTATTCTAAAAATTTATGCACCAAACACAAAGACACCCACATTCATAAAAGAAACACTACTACAGTTAAAACCACATATTGACCCTCACAGAGTGATAGTGGGCGACTTCAGTACCCCACTCTTGCCAATAAACAGGCCACCCAGACAACAACTAAACAGAGAAATGCTAGAGCTAAGTGATGTTATAAGTCAAATGGACCTAGCAGATATTTACAAAACATCTTACCCAAACACAGAAGAATATACCTTCTTCTTAGCACCTCATAGAACTTTCTCCAAAATTGACCACATACTTGGACACAAGGCAAGTCTCAACAGGAACAAGAAAATTGAAATAACACCTTGCATCCTGTCAGACCAACATGGATAAAAGCTGGATATCAACAACAACCGAAATAACAGAAAGCTTACAAACTCATGGAAACTGAACAACTCTCTACTGAATGAAAAATGATTTAAGGCAGAAATTAGGAAAGAAATTAAGAACTTCTTAGAATTGAATGAGAATGAAAACACAACATACCCAAACTACAGGACACAATGAAGACAGTTCTAAGAGACAAATTCATAGCACTGAAGGGCATGTGCTCAAGAATGGTTTTGGGTTTTGTTTGTTTGTTTGTTTGTCTTTTTTTTTTTTTTTGAGACAGGGCTTCTCTATTCAGCTCTGGCTGTCCTGGCTCACTTTGTAGACCAGGTTGGCTTCAAACTCAGAGATCTACATGCCTCTGCCTCCCTAGTTCTGGGATTAAAGGTGTGCACCACCACAACCCAGCCTCAATTGTCTATTCATGTGTAAGCAATCTCTTTGGCTCTCTATGGGATGCAAGTTCAGAAGATGGCATTTAGTTCAACCCAAGATTGGCATTTCCAGCCCTCTGAGAATCTACATAAGCCCAAATGGATTTGACAAAAGTAGCCCTGTGCCCATGAAAAGTATCCTAGGCAAGTGCTATCCTCATGAGCAATAGACCACATGTGGTGTCTACAGCAAAGGTAATGGGAGGCTAATGACACATAGCTTAGCCATATGAATTTTAAAGTCAACTAAAAGGTGTGATGAGTTGAGTCTTGAAGGTTCTCTACAGGCTTTCTCTTGATTTTCTCTGGATAAAGATTTTCAACTAAGAGGTGCAGCCCCTCTAAATATGTCTTAACCTTATTGCCAACAGAAAGAAAATGAGTGGAGAGATTTGGGGAAATAGGGCAATCTGTGTATTTGGAAACTTTTGGAGAATGTCCTTTCCCATGAAAATTGAGTTAATGTGGATAGACTGTGCATCTTCTCTTGGATCCATCTATCTTAGGTACAAGCTCTTAATTGGCATTATGGCTTCTATAGTTTAGATCTTAAATATTGTCCCAAAGCTCATGTATTGAAAGCTAGAACCTGAGCTTATGACTTGGAAGGTAGTAGAAAATTTAAAAGGTGGAGCCTAGCTGGAAGAAGGGGGTCATTGGAGGTGTGCCCCTGAAAGGCATATTGACACCTGCCTCTACTCCTCCCTCCTCTTCTCTCTTTCCTTTCCTCCTCCTCCTCGTCCTCCTCCTCTTCTTCCTGGATTTCATTAAGTGTGCCAGTTTCTCAGCCATGTGCTTCCTGCTATGATGTGTACTTTGTCACAGGCCCAAAGGCCACAGGGCTGGGCAAACCATAACTGAAACAGGAGCTCAAAGATCAAGCCTTCTTGTAAGTTGTTTTCAGAACAACGGAAAGAAGTTTCACACACACACACACACACACACACACACACACACACACACACACACACCATACACGCACGCACGCAAAAATTGGTCCTGAGAAATTGAGTCATTAATGCAACTAGACAGGATGAGGTAGTTCAGAAGCCCTTGGAATTGACATGCAACAGGAGTTGAGAGGTGTTTGGAGAAACCAGAGAGAAAGTTTGGGATGTTGTAACCAGAGTTTAACGGAAATTGTAATGGGAGCTCAGAAGATTGGAATACTGATGTGGAATGTGGAACATCAAGGCTGTTCTTTTGTTTTGGGTAAAAAATGAAGATCCTGTTATGGATTGGATCAGAAACCAATCACATGATATCCTGGCAAAGGACTTGTCTACCTATTGTATAAACCCTGAAACTTTGTGTGAAGCTGAGTTCAAATGCGGTGAACTATTTGTTTTTGTGGAAGACCTTTCAAGCATGACAGCTACCGGACAGTGGTATGGGTGTGGCTGACTCTTGTGGATGAGATTTAGAGTGCAAACTGGGAAAGCTTAATGGAAGGA